CACAGTATGACGAACCGTGAATTGTACGTTTTGTTTACATTAACCGAAACATGCGAGGATGCAGCTAATACAAGGAATTTGTATAATTGAAAGGTGTGATAGCTCCCGGGTGTAGGGACACGAAAAATTCAAAAAAATCTGAAAAATTGCGACATCAAATATGATCAAAGGTTTTACGTTCTTGCAAATTTTCATAACAAAATATCAAGTAGAGAGAGGTGTACACGTGAGTTTCTGATTTCAGTGCTAAAAGTGCTCAAAACTTTGAGCGCTGAAATCCTTTTCTTGTTTGGAGCTCCTCGAATGTTTTTTCTTCATGAAAACTTGCAAGCACCTACAAAGTTTGACTATATTTGATGTCGCAAAGTTTCAGATTTTTGTTTCATTTTTTTCTATTTTTTAACTTACTGTTCATAGAGGGAGTCCCTGCACCCAGGAGTTGAAAAACTGGTCTCATTTGTATAATACACCATGTCAACCGGATCAAAATGGGTCTCTCCTCCACTAAAATGGTTCAAAATTATAGCATATGAGTTGAAAGTGAAGTGAGATTACATGTGCCCTCTACCCATATATAATACAGATTCCACAAAACCACTGTTCAGGCTTACATCTTATAGGCTCCGTAGGATTTGAACTATGAAGACGAACATTCCATGGTGGTAAATCATCGCACCCTCGTCAAAGAGGATGAATTTGCTGTGTTTTGATCCTTTGTTTCGTCTTTTGGGCATATGAGATACAAGCACTCAGGTGGATGAGAATTTTGCTTCCTTGCATATCTCTTTTTTTTTGCGGGAAGCTTCCGCACATGGCTGCTTAGGCTAGGGTCAGTTTATACTAGACTAAACGTTGGTGTGCTAGGGTGCTGATCCATCATGGATAGACCCTCATTGACCTCAATTGGTATTGGTTTTTATCTCACACCCTTTCAACCCCAACGGAAGGGGGAGTCATCATACTTGTGCCAATATAACTGATGGGATAGATCTAGCTTGTCGTATCTAGACTAATGCCAAGGAACAAAAAATAGATAAATATGCCATCATAAAACACGAAGACTCTCGAAATGACATTGTGATTGCATGCCCAATCGAATCGATTAACTACGGGAAGTGTAACAAGCAAACAAGGAACATCCCCTTAATTTGTTAGGACAGATGCAATCGAAGGGATGGAACCTTCTCCTACCCTCTAGGCATCAACCCTACCACCCGTGACTATAAGTAGCACCGGTGGAAAATGGATATGTGGATGCATTTTTTCTGAATCTTCATGCATATTTCTACATGTTATCCGGTTTATCTAACAAACTAAGTAGTAACGTTACAGATGTGTCAAAACAAATACCAAATTACTAACTGCAAGCATGTGTATATTATATATTATATATGATCCAACTTACGGGTGACGGAATAGAAATTGTATACAGAAGTACTTACAATTCTATCATATTTTGTATTTAAACAGAGAACCCAACGAACAATGAGCAAGGAGGGCCAAACATTGTGTAACGAACTCGAGAACGCCGTGAAGCAAAAGGCGGGACAACATCTGCATCATTAGTGGATTCTAACATAATAATGGTGCATGTCATCATACATAACTCTACCATGAATCAAAATGCATGCCATAGATATAGAACAAATAATCTAAGACAAATAGTACTGATGCATGCATGACAATATAATACAGTGTGTTCCATATAGCTAATATAGTGTATACATTTCTTGTCCTATATTCTACTCTTCATCATGTACCCTGGCATGTGCGCAACTTCGCGATGAGTATAATTAGTATGCATGAAACAGTGGAGAAAATAAATATAGAGTGGCCGCGAAGCAGTGGCATGCATAAAACACAGGCCATTGTCGATGTAATTCTTACGTATAAATGAATATATAATGATGTTACAATGTCGGAAGCATGTGTGCTTACTGCTTGTATATCAGTGTATCTGGGCATGGCCTGTAGTGCTTCTTGCTTGTTCGTGTTCAGGTTTGGAAATTTTCAGAGAGAAACAGTTGCCGTTTGAAATTCAAGCTGGCCCGCTGCGAACCAGCGGTGTGGCGCTGGCCTAGGTGCGCACAGCCGAGCTCGTTGGAGCGAAGGCCCGTGTGGAGTGGGAAGGAGCGACTGCTAAACCGGCCGGGTCACAAGGCACGCAATGTGTCTGGCCTATCAATGAACTGAACCGAGTTTGTAATTGCATTTCTGACAGAGTTTGTTATTTCTGGATTCACATAAGTTCAGACGTACCCAAAAAGAAAACATAAGTTCAGAGGTTCCTTTTCTCAAAAAAAATCAGACGTTGCAGACTACTCATCATATAAATCACCTAAATAAACACATCCTATAACTGTATCA